AGAAGGTTCTTGACCATGACAGATATTTAGTTGGTGATATTGAAGGATTCCAGCTCACTCAAATGTATTTTGAAACTGTCGTTGGCCCTGATCAAATGAAACTATGGATCCCAAATGAAAATGATAATAGTAGCTAAGTTGTTATAGTATGTTCTGATACCTCAAAATGTATTTCATTATTTTGTACATTGTTCCAAACCTTTTTGCCAGTTAGTTACCGTGATTTGTTTATGAAAATGTATGCCCTTAGTGTTTTATACTTTACTAACTAAAATTTACAGTTTATGAAGTCTGTAGTGATGTAACTACATTTATGTTATGACTTCAGCACAAATGTCTTATGATTATGAATCTTATGTGAACCAACTTATGTTTATGCTGCAAAAGTTATTCTATACTTTTATGTATCATGATTTATTTATGATTTATGTGAATGTGTGAAGTTACTGAATTATGTTAGTGATTACTTATGTATCATGCATTTATTTTATGCCTTCATTTATCCATTTATGTTAGAAATTAGAATAGGGAGTATCGGGACGATCCTCTAGTCAGGATTGCCGAACTGTAGGCCTTTTGGGCTTATGTCCCGAAGGCAAGAGAAAAGAAGAAGAAAATCAGTGGTTAAGTTAGGCGCGAAAAGGTTGGAGTTTGAGGTTAGGATTGGATAAGTTGGCGGGAGGAAGGAAGTTAGCGTTGTTTTTATGTCGTTAGGTTGTGATGTGAAATAAAACTATTATTCCCTGACAAAAATTATTTATTTCGGCCATCCCCACAATAGGAATTTCCTTTCGTGCGCTCCCAGAGATAAAACAAAGTTATTGTTGAACATTCAGAAATAAATGATTTCGTGGATGTTTGCTCGATTCAGGACCATTAAGTTGAAATATAAAAATCTCATAAATATTTAACATAACGACAATGCACGAAGTATAGGTACTTCACACTGTTTTACTTCGCGCATTGTTTTGTGCAAAGTATCATGGTAACGTAGGAAACTGAAAAAAAGTGTCACTTCGCAATTTGTTATCAATGCGCGAATCTTGTCATTTTTTGACGTTTGTAGAAAATAGTTATTTTCCTAACAAGTGCGCAAAGTGTTACTTTTCCGCACGCAAATACAGTTAGGCGAACGACGCGGAGCGGAGTTCGAATAAGTTTTTGCGTGCGGAAAAGACACTTTGCGCACGTGTTAGGAACAACGTTTTTCCTACGAGCTTCATATGAGATGAAAATAAAAAAAATTATAACTCATTGAAAAATATAACTATACAACAATCACATATAACAATAAAATATAATAATAGAAAATCACATTTTCCCTACGAGCTTCATATCAGATAACGAAAATAAAAAAAATTCAACTTAAAGTACAATTTATTGAATAATTTTCAGTTGAACTTGATAGAAATAGATGAAAAACAAACAATTACAAATCAATAAAATATAATGATGAAAAATTAAATCATTTAATTTGTTCCTAATATTTATATTGAGGTGAAATACAAATATCGGGAAGAACGGTTGAAAAGTAAAAGGGACAACGGCTTCTTATAGTGCATACAATAGTCTACAGCAACTAAAGTGAATATAAATGTTCCATACCAGTGAGATTTCTGTGTAATTTTACTTATCCGCACTGAGTGCGGAAAAGTATTACTTTGCGCACGCAAATGAGTACGGAAAAGTACTACTTTAGGCACGCTTGTAGGAAAAGATATTTTTATGAATAAAAAAAATCACAGATTTCGATTAGAATATAAAAAAAGAGGGGTGTTTGATTTGAAAGAATAAATTTGTGGTTGTTCACGCTTCTAGGTACTTAGTTCATCATCAATTTTTCACATGTATTTTTCTCGGTGAAAACTAACGTGAATATGGACCTCTTCAATGGATAACCCTGTACACAAACGGTATGTTGTTTGAAAACACCTCATCAGTTATATCTAGTTATACCGGGTGGCTACGGAAGTATTGCCTACGGAATATCTCAGTTATTGTATGAAGTAGGTTTGTGAAATTTGAAGCGTCGATATAATGACATAAGAGCTAGAATTTGAGCATATTGACATGTCGAAGTTAACCTCCGGTCTGACCGGAAGTAACATAAACTTTCTTATTTTAAATGGAAACCCTATTTTTTTTTTCTTTTCGCTTTATTCAGCATTCAATTCCCTTTCTAATGACATATCACAAGTTGGTATCTAATCAGAAACTAGATCAGAAAAAAATTATTATTGAAATTCACCGAGTTGGCCGTGGAAGCAAAATGAAAGCCAAAAATTGAAAAGTTGGCTATGGAAACCATACGTCACTTGATAACAGTTGCTACTACTGTGATATTTTATTTTCATTCGTCGGCGTTATAAAAAGCCGCCAAAAAAAAATATTGAAAAAATTGGGAAAAAAACAATACTCTGTAGGTCCATAACTTAAATAGGAACATACAACTTTTTTTTGCCTGTAATATTCAGCATAACCATTCCTTTCTAATGATATAATAGGAAGTCATTTTTTGGCTTTCATTTTGCTTCCACGGCCTACTCGGTGAATTTCAATAATAATTTTTTTCTGATCTAGTTTCTGGTTAGATACCAACTTGTGATATGTCATTAGAAAGGGAATTGAATGCTGAATAAAACAGAAAGAAAAAAAAAAGGGGGTTCCATTTAAAATGAGAAAGTTGATGTTACAGCCGATCAGACCGGAAGTTAACTACGACATGTCAATATGCTCAAATTCTAGCTCTTATGTCATTATATCGACGCTCCAAATTTCACAAACCTATATACTTCATACAATAACTGAGATATTCCGTAGGCAATACTTCCGTAGCCACCCGGTATACTTACTTTCAAGGTTCATTTTGTAGGGTCACTTTTCAACCCAGCTATGTCAACTGGTACATGTATAATCAACTTGAGCAATACAAATTTAATAATATTAATTTCCTCACAGTATACATTGAAGTTAGAGAGTTATTTAGTTTCTAAACTTGAACCCAATTCGACGATGAGCGTTTGCTTCATAATTTACAGTTCAGAAATGGCGTCTGATTTCGTATCGGCAAATAGACTAGTTTTGTTAGCCGATAGGCTAGCACATCGGTAATCTCGCATCGGCGCATTGTCGCTTAGTGACTTTTTTTGTTGAAAATAAAAAAAATCGCCAATATGGATTCTGGATGTTAAGCCTCTGAATGTGATCTAGTACCTAGGCCATAGTTTTTTAAAGAATCGGACGCCGCTTAGCTCCAAAATACACCTTTCCTCCTCTTCATTAAAAAAAAATCGTGAAAAACGCTCCATAAATAAAAAAAATCATGAGGGTGGCCTGCTTTCAAATGGGTCACTTTGTGTAATTTTTTTTTATTATTGATCAGAGATGAGCGAATTGGCGAATACCAAACAATAACAATTGATGTAATTTTTTTTTCTACTAGCGTGCGTCCACTTTTCCGCACTCATCTTGGTGTTGAAAGAGTCACTTTTCTGCACTAGTGCGGAAAGAAGAAATTTGGGTTTTTCCGCACGCTAGTAGAAAAATAGTGTTCCTACGTAATATGTGCGGAAAAGTATAACTTTCGGCACTTGTTAGGTAAACTACTATTTTACACATATCCAAGTATTCCTAATATATTCAATGGAAATCAACACTTTATCAAGTTATCTATGATGTCAAAAAACATCCAGCATATGTAATAACCAGATGGAATGCATCTTACGAGTATAATCTGATATAGTAATTTTCCTAACAAGTGCGCACGCGAATGCCGTTGACCCGATCGACGCAAAGCAGACTTCGAGCAAGCAGTCGAGTGCGGGAAAGACACTTTCCGCATGAGTTTTAGGAACAATATTTTCTTTATAAGCGTAAGAAATTGATTGATTTGTTTAATCAATTATTCCTGCTAGAAGGAACAACTAACAATTGTGAAATATTCTCTATCTTCTAATAATTAGTGATAAATCTATTGTGTGCACTGACTGTGTACCGATTGAAGCATTATGTAATAAGTAAGCTTATTGCGGAGGCCAGCATGTTCTCATGTTCATGGTGTTTGGCATGGAGGTATAATGGCCCTATAGGTTTCAGACATTTCTAGGAAATGAGCTGAGAATACTTCTTTATTTGGTGTTTTCACTTTTTCACTATTGCACCACCATTCAATAATTCCCGTGTAGTTCTTCTCATACATTTCTTAAGACTTCGTTGGCATTGGCAATAACTCATCTGTATCGCATCTGTAGCTGGAAGTTTTTCATCGCAATTTCACTGAATCGAAAATGACAGTAATGTTCTGTCTGTCACTCTGAGAATTACACTAACTAATTTGTGTTTTGATTGACATGACAACAATTGTTTCCCACATCAAATCAATTAAAGGCTGTACGGGAATTTATATAACAATCGATTATTATTTTTCAATAAATCTTCATTTTCACAATAAATAGTGCATTTTGATGGATGATTTTGTACAAACCTACCAATTATTACTCGAGGGGGAAACAACTGCCCAAAATGTGTACACCATATTTAAATATCTGGTAATTAAAAAGTACTTAAAATACTCAAAACTGGTACTTAAGATACTGTTAACAGGTAATTTAATACTCTTAAAACGAGACTTAAAATTCCATGGTGTACACCTATTTAAAGAGTTGTTTCCCCCTCGTTATTACTGTAACAAAAAAAAACTAAAATTTTCATATTGTGGCACCCACCACTCATATTTTGTGAGAATATTATTTAAATGTTTCTCCCACACTAGTGTGGGAAAACTTTTCCCGCACTACTGCGGGAAAATGACACTTCCCAAACTAAATTGCGTGCGGGTACAGGGTGAATCACGCACGCTTGTAGAAACAAATTTAATGTTCATCTTCTGCATGACCTCTAACTCCAAAAGAATCAGGTACCTAGGTAGGTTGGTATATGTACTTAATTGAATCAGAGTATCACAGCGGCTCTCCAGTTCATTTCGAGACAAACAAAACACTTTCACATGTCAGAGAACTTGAAACAGTTCTCATTTATTTAAGAAATAATTCAAAACAATTTGCATGTATTCTAGAACCTAAAAATTACTTTCCCATCCATCTAACCATTTTCTCCGAGACTGTCTTCTCAAAGTATCACCATCCAATCTTTTCACGTCCGTTTTGAATTCTCCTATAAGTTTAAGTTTCGTCTCTTCCACAGATGAAACGTTTTTGATTATCCTCAGCTCGCCGGTTTCCGTGAGTCGCGTCACATCGTCTGGTTGAGGAAAACCGTCGGGAAATGTGATGGGTGTGATTTTTATCATGTGCTTCACTTTCCATAACCGTTGGTTGTTTTCGGGAATATTTTTTATGATCGCATAACAGTTATTCTGGAATAAAATATGAAGTTGTAAAGACATTATCAGGGCTGTCGATCATGTATTTTATGCATTAGCGGGCGGTAAAGTGCACTTTATAGCCCAGATTTGCCGGCGTAAAGTGGTACTTTACAGCCCGCGGGCTCATTATCGTCCACGGGCCATAAAGTACACTTTACCGCCCGCTGTTCTCAAGTCTCTTATATCCACATCAATTTGTGGAATACCTATATTTGAACTCTCAGCTGATTCTATCGTTATGATTATGATATATGTTATTGTTCATCCGATTCCATCTTCGCTATAACTTCCTTCTTTGAATAGTTGCTTTCTGGCTGTCTGAAGTTTTTAGCCAGAAGATGACAATTTCAGCTTGTTTTTTGGATGTATTGCTAGACAGCAACCATCAGATTGATTGACAACGTCAAATTTAGGTAGCTATATACTGGGTATACATATCGTTACATCTCAAGGAACGAATCTCTGTTAGTGAACAGAGAGTTTTACTCTTACGATAATTGCGATATTCGTACGGTAATTTTAATATGTAGATTATACACATAACATTGTGCTTCTCTTGAAAACTGAATTTATGAGTAACATATGAATTGTAGTTTGTTGAAATCTAGTCATTACTTGTGACTGGGAAAATAAACCACTAGTGCATACAATTTTGTATGTATCACGTGCGTAAAATGCGTTTATAGCCTTCGGCGTCTTGATACATAAATAACTATTTTCCACCACTAGCTCTAGAACCTACCATATTATTTACTTCTTTTCGAGGCATAAAGTGTGTTTTTACTACCAGGGTAGTTTTCGATATTTTATGAACTACTATAGTCAATGGAGACATGGCCACCTCTGTTATAATTAACCAGAATTCACTGTTCTGATGCGAGATTCTTTGGAATAGCACTCAAATCTAGTAGGTATATTCATGAATTTATGATATCAAAATAGTAGATAAATAAATTGAAGTTAACACTTCGGAATTTTACGACTTCAAGCGGATAAAAACAATTCGAGAAGAATCCCAATCCCGTTCAATCCCAAGTACACAAAAGGACTTGATAAGGTTTTCAAAGACTTAGGTTTTGAAAGCGTTTATCAGTCCGGTCAAAATTAGGCAATTTATTAAGTAATCCAAAAGATGAGGTGTACACTCTTAAAAAGTCAGGAATATATGAAATTAGTTGTAATGATTGTGATAAAACATATACAGGCCAAACCAGGCGTCCAATAAAAACAAGGTTCAAAGAACACTTAGCACATTGAAATATGGTAGGTTAGATGAATCGTGTGTAGCTGAACACATCTTCAATCACAATCACAACATATTAATAACCTCGAGTTAGTTGAGCAATTTAAGAATAGTAATAGAATAATGAATAAGAATAATGGACCTATCCCATTCAGCCCTCTGTATAGTTTTGTGATATAAGACCAAGGTTAACATGTGAACTCAACCATGACTAACATTAACTTTGGGTTGGGTGTCTTCCACGGTTGGGTGGACATATACCTGGTATACAGGGTGTCCGTTTTTCGAGCTCCACCATGGGGATCTCAGTTATTATAACAGATACGAGGTCGGTTAAATTAGGACAAAGTTGCGCATTTTCATGCTGAACATTCATCTGCAAGAAGATTGATGTGTCATTTTTAGTTTTGAATTCATTGGAAGAAAACGAAAATTTATAATTTTCGTTTTTATTTTTTCAAGCAGAAATCAAAAAACCTAGACGTTTCTTACTGTGACACTTTTTTTCAAGGAAGAATCTGTCTTTGTATTTTTCATGACGTTCTTGATGCCAAAGTTATAACAAACAACTTTCTTATGGCCGCCATATTGGATTTTTGAAAAGTGTTTTTTTCTTCTGATTGGTTCTTCTTGGTTGAAAAGAACACCAAGACGTGCTATGATAATGTTGAAGTCATGTTTTCATAAAATCAATAGTTTCCGAGAAAAACAAAAATACAAGATTTCAGATGTCAAATGCAGTGAAAATGAAATTATTTCAAAATTTCAATCAGGAGTGTATAATACAGGGTGGGACCACATTAAATATTGCTCAAAATTTTTTGTATGCATATTCTTCGACTATTCAATCTCGGATTATGAAATTTCTTACCTATTTACAGAAAAAAGGTACTCTTGTTCCGTGACGATCAGATGTATTATTATCGAGTAAAAGCAATTTAAAAATATTGTTACATCACAGATATCATGCCTAACATTGCAATGAGGCGTAGTGAAAATGGAAAAAAATGCACAAAAATTGAACTAGTTGTTTTATCATTATTTTTCTATTTTCCGCGCTTCTATGAGATTGTTTGGTAGAAAGAAAGTACTTGATTTTTTTATAGCCACTGATTTGAAAATTGGCATCGTTATGCATAAGATGTGACTGCATAAATATTTTTAATTCGATTTCACTTGAAGATGATACATCTGATCGATGCGGAACAAGAGCACATTTTCTTGTGAAATGGTGTGGATTTTCATATTCCGAGATTGAATTGTCAAAAAATATGCATACGAAAAAGTTTCAGCAATATTGAATGTAGTCCCACCCTGTAGTATACACTCCTGAATGAAACTTTGAAATTATTTTATGTTCATGTAACATTGGGCATGGTGAGTTTAGTTTTAGTACCGAATTGCATCATTTTATCACGTGGCGTTTCGGAAATATCATCTTCAGGAGCCTCTTTTCAGGGGGTCATAGCTCCCTTAGGAGAAATTTCTTGACTCATGGTAATTGGAACTTTTCTTCTACTTTTTGGTCGAAGAAGCCGCTGGTGAAGTTTGGCAGGCTAATTTCGTGACGCAATTTTGAAAGCACCATTCTTGAAATTGTAAGGATAAAGGAACATATATAAGTACAATATAAAGAAAAGACACATCGATAAATTGAAACTAGCTGAACATATCCTTACTGAAGACGGACAACATATGGCAGAGTGGAATAATATTAAAATCATTGGAAAAGAAGATAACAACCAGAAGAGAAAAATCGAGGACTCTGCTTGCATTCTTCTGAACGAAGACAATAGCATTGCTTCTTGTTCCGTTGATATAGACAGAACATGGTATTCACTACTGAAATCTGAACATGAAAATGGTAAATTCAAGATTAATTAATGGAAACATCCTGTAACTGATCTGATTGCCAATGTCACAAATTGTCACTGAGAACTGAAAAGTTTCAAGACAGATATGACTTTGCTATCAAAATAACCATTTTTTATGTTGAAAACGGGAGCAGATTCGGTCCGGAAACGTCCAAAGATAAGAAAAAATTTGATATTTTTTCTATATACCTATATTTCTCTTCTCCAAACTTTTTTCAGGTATATTGAAATAATATTCATATTTTTGTTTTATAGAAACGAGGAGAGAAAATCCCAAAAAATTTGGAATACTGAGACTATCTCTTGATCCAAATCATTATGCATTACATACACATATACAAAGGTATATTATGCCATGGTCAATTTGACACTTCTGTCATCATGAATTAAAAGATTTGTATATGTTGTAGCTGCATTTGAAAACTCTGATCAGAAGTTTGTTCAGAATATGATTATTATATTATTTTATAATAGTGATAAAGACAGGAATTACTTGGATTGCACAGATTTTATAGGTATATCGACGTCAAAGAATGCATGCTGAAGCCAGCCAATTCATTTTTCCTCCCACGTTAATATTTTTTTCCTCCCGAGGGAGTGAATTGACAACTTTGTTTCCTTCCAATTTAGTGAGTAGATAAAGAATATTATTACTATGGGACCTTATACCACTTGGCTGAAGCCTCAGGATATAATCTTGGTCTCTGGGTAATAATGCTATTCTTTACTACCATGGTGTATAAAATAACTATTTCCTAGCTCTACTATACTGCCCTGAAGAGCAAAAAGAGCCGAAGTGGATAATTCTTCCATTATGAGATAATGATCTTAGTCTGGATACAATGTGAAAATTGGGCTGTGCCTTCAGACTGCAAAATACTTTGGTTATATTCAGCAATTTGAGAATTTTGAGCATTACCAGAAAGAACAGTGAAAACTGAGTTCTTGAATACTTCCCTACACCCCAAACATAAATTCTTGACTTTTTTCATTTATGCTGGTTTAGTTTCCATCATGCTTAATTCCTGCTTGGGGAATGTTCTTGAAAAATACTCTCTCAAGAATTTTACATCACTAAATGACACTATATTAATTCTATTTAGTTATTTCTGTATCTAGTGCACAAGTTGGTGATCCAGAACTAATTTTTTTTGATGAGTGGCAGCCTAGTTATAAAAAAATGGTAATTAGTGAACCATTTCATCATCAACTGTTTTGTAGGTAATGAATCTATTTTGATTGGCTATAGCACATTGTGTAAAAGCTCTTACACAGGGGACAAGGCTTGTTTTGTTTAATGCAGCCAGTTACCCTACAAAAATTTTACATGGAAAGGGTCCACTTTTCAACAGAAAAAAGTATATTCTACACTAAAGAAGCTCACATCTCCAGGTCTTGAGCTGGTGTGAAATACACTCAAACTCAGGAACAACTTGAACTACATGAGTGGCCATGAATGGTACCTACATATATCTTAGAATGTCAGTCACATCAGATATAGGAATTAAAAGATAAAATTGTACCCTTCCTCCACCATTATTCATATTTTATTCATCCATTTGAAAGTCATTGGTATAGCTGCATGACAAATCAGCTGATTTATAGCATATCACATGACACTGAAAAGTATAGGGTGAAATATATATAGTCAAAAACTGATACCTTTGTTTTTCTTTACTATTACAGTAAGAATGGAAACTAGAAACTTGCTTGAAACCTGGCTTGAAACACTAGAAATGTCATTTTCTAAATATGAACTATGTGGCACATGAATCCTGCTCTATTTATTCACTGCGATTCTTTAGATGTTATGACAATCAAGTAATGACTAGTTATATCCTCAGGTATACCTACATCTTTATTAATGAACACAAGACATACCTTTCCATCCAACTTAAACTCTTTCAGAATATTTTTTTCCCAGTGAGGTGCTCCTTTCAATGATTTAATACGTTCTACTCTAAAAAGCTTTGAGGGATTGTAGGGAGGATCTTCAAAATCCGGATGTCTGGAAATGAAGAATATTGGAAATATTATTTTCTCTTTGATTTTTGCTGTCTTCACCTTGGGTAATATTTGAATCCTGGATACTGTATTCCCTCTCCGTACCACTTAAACGCTCGTTTACTAATATTTCTATGTATAAATACAGAAGGGCTTATTATTTTCTGCAAAAGAGACATGATAGTTTCGAATTTTAAATTATAGGTTAGCTTTAGCTAGAACACCTACGTGAAGTGGGCTGCCAGAGCTAGCTGCCAGAATTTCCGAACTTTCCCGATTGACCAGTGGCACACGTTTCCCCCCTTTTTGGGTAATTGCTTTTGTTTGCGATGATTCGATGTAAGTAGTTAAGCTCGGCGATGAATATGTAACCCATTATAATAGTTATTTTTGTATCTAGAGCGCGATATGCTACTTTGGTGATCAAGATTTGAATTTTTTAACGAGGCGTAGCCGAGTTGAAAAAATAGTCGAGATAACCAAAGTATTTCGCGCTCGAGTTGCGAACAAAATGTTTTCTACAAACGTCAAAAAATACAATTATGAAGTGAAAATATTCTTACCTTATAGATCATAAGCAGCTGACTGGAAGTGAAATAGCTCCTGGCCCGAAACAGAAAACCAAGTTTTTGGGATGCACTTTCAGCAATTGATCTCACGTGATTTTCCCAAGAAAGGTTATTGCTGATAGTAATACCAAGCATCGAAATAAATTATTTCGTGGATGTTTGCTTGAAAGAAGACCATAAAGTTGAAATATGAATATCTCATATATTTTACATAACAATGCGCGAAGTAGGTACTTCGCGCACTGTTTTATTTCGCGCATTGTTTTGTGCAAGATATCATAGTTACTTAGGAAACTGAAAAAAGTGTCACTTCGCAATTTATTATCAATGCGCGAACCTTGCCATTTTTTGACGTTTGTAGAAAAAGGTATTATGAGGAAGGAAAATATCGTTTCTGCATGAAAAAGGAGACTACTTTTGACCTTTCGGCCTGAAAGAACCTTCTCTCTGGAAATAACATGCTTTCAAGAAATTATTTGAGTGAAGAAAAAAAAAGACTCCTCGCAGGTAGTTGAACACGAGCAACCGCCGTGGAAGTCAGATGGTCAGCCCACTGAGCTATCAAGCTACTATTAAGTTTCACCTACGAAGAAAGAAGAAATATCGTGTGTTGGCTTGTTTATCATGATTTTTTTTTAAATTGACTTTTTAGGAAAAAGATTCATCTAGGCCGGGTTATGTTAGAATTATGCTCCCTTTTCATACTGAAAAGATATTTTTCTTCTTCATAATACCTTATAACCTTGAGATTTACCGCCGCACAGCAGCAAGCTACTATTTGAACGACTGGCGGGAGACATTTATACTAGAAGAAAGAAAGATGAAAGGTCTGCTCGGTGTTTCTGCATGAAATTCATATTGTACACTATAGGCCTGTTCGTTTGTATTGCTAAACTTGCTGAGGTTGATTTTTTCCCATAGTTATCTCTGTTCATAGCATGATGTAAACAGAGAAAGTCATAGAAAAAAATCAAGTTTAGCAGGTAGAGCAAGCACAAACGAACAGGCCTTACATATTTCTACAATTTTCGGCGTAGACTAGTGTAGTGGAGTGTAGTGAATTGATATCTTGGTTCGTTGCTTGTGGTGTTGTCAAGTGTATTGATATTTCGCGTATTGTAATTGCATGGTAAAAACTCTTGGAACTAGAAAAAAAAAAAGATAGTGATGATGAAATCATTAACAGTTATTTCTTGAATTCGATGGTGAATCAATTACAAGTTCTTCTGATCGACGAAGATTTATTGATGAAATCTGTTTCATCAGTAGTTGGATAATCCATCTCAGTATTAGAAATGTTGACCAAAATGATTATATAATTCACAAAACAGAGATTGTTGTTTATGCTCCGAAAACAAACTCCTAACTTAACAATTATCTGCATTTACACTTCTCACACCTCCTCAAGATCAAGTGTACCACTCTGTTTTGGCGGTAAATTATCTCTAGTAATTGTGTTACAATACTTTGACAACAAATCAATGACGGCTAAATATCAGTCCATTTAGCCGTCATTGAACAAACACAGTGTGAGACGTGAGTGTACACCATATAACACCGAACGGTATTAGTGCTACACAATCTACTCTGGTGTACAATATTGTAGTCCTGAGCCTGAACCAAGGTTAGAAGAGAATATTCTACTAACCTTGGACCTAAACATAGAAAAAGTCACACATATAACATCATGACAGTACATTGGACACAACATTGGACACTGATTGGACACGAGTGCCTCTCGACAGTTCCCTCATATTGCATTAATCATTCTAGCTTCCAATGCACGACCGTTATAGAAGTTGATAGACCTTGCGACTGTGGTGCACACGTTTCACACGCAATGAACTCAATATAAACACCTATATTGAGTAACGCCACGCGATATCTGCGACTGCGAGAATCAATTATTTCTCCAAACGTTAATTATCAATTGAAGTAGTGTCTCAGTTAGCTACGAATCCGCTTGCCACGCCTGCGGTTCAGGGGTCAACTTTTTTGTTAAATTTTATTCCCAAGGCTTTCAAGGAATTTCTGAAGCATGTTTTCTAGCAAGACAATTCATTTGGTAGATAGATCAGTCCGTTCAGAAAAAGTAGTCTCCTTTGTTCTCTCTAGTCATTTTCCGGAGAATAAACTCTTTAGGGAGGTTCATTTAGGCAGAGTTAGGTCACATTGTTCAGAAAAAGTAGTTTCTTTTGTCTCAAATACAGGATTACGGTATAACCGCTATCTTGAATTCTTGAAATTCCTTTGACGTCACATGAGGATAACACAGGATAGCCAACTAGGGAATATATTAGGCCTTTTCGTTTGTGTTTTCACTCAATTTGCTAAACATAATGTTCTTATTATTCCTTATAACTTCGTGAATGAAGTATGAATTTTCAAACTCGCCCTGTATTCCATAAACGGAAACAGTTATGCGAAATCTGATCCAGCTATCATAAGTTTCACATAAAAGTAGGACAAGAACGTAAAAACCGCAACCGAGAGAAACCTGACAGTCTCAACCAATATGAGATGCACGGTACATTTTTTGTTTCAAAATTGGTGGCGAAGAAGGCAGTTTTCTAAAATCAATATTGCGAGACTGTGGCGTCATCGATCGAATTATCCTCAAACAATTTAAATAATAGCTACTAAACGGAGAAGATTGTATATGGGCGTAGTGTATAATCCAATATTGATTTCGAAACGGACCATTTCCTATTAAAATTTTTGAAAAAAACTCGAGAGGTAGAATGCCATTTGAAATAATTACCACAGTTTAAGGAAATACCCATTCCTCAAACTGTGTAATTACCTAGAAGGAATCCTGATTGGCGATGAATCAAAATTTTCGCACGTGTGCTTCGTTGACGTTCACATCAGTTTCGCCATATTGAGGAAGCTCTTTTAGTAGTTCCTATACCTTTATTCTGTGGATCATTCCAATAACCTTCTGGGAATGTACAGTTCAAGTGCCATTTTTCATGTTTCCAGAATATTCTGCGCACCTTGTGAAAACATTCTGAGGATATTATTTCAAATGATCCACGAGAATATTCTATAGGAGAAAGGAGAATAAACGCTCTCAGATAATTCAGATAATTGCCAACATATTTTTGTAGTTTTTATCCCATCCGATTGATTTGGGGGCAATTATGAAAGGAATAATCCGTATAATTTTATTCCCCTAAATTCGACCCCAATCTTCAATCATTACAGAATATTAGAAAATATCATTACTGTCGATTGGAAAAAATTATAAAACAAGTATAACGTCAAGTGCTCAGGAGTCCTCAAGAAATCCTCAGATAAGGAAGACTTGATGAGGAGTTCTTGAGGAAACGACTTAAAGTATTTAGGCGAGACAAAACGGATATTCCGTCGTCTGCCCATAGAATACTGAGAAATAATAAATACCATCCATACAATCAGCAAATGATTTTCCCCGTAGAGTTAGATTTTGTGATTGGTGAATTCAAAACTTGCGACAAAATCCCAATTTTCCAATAAAAATTTGTATGAATTCACCAAACATAGAAAACTCACACTTAACCTCACCAAGACGATCTCAAACGAAATTTGGATTTAATGTTTGGTGCGGTATGATAGGATTATAAAATCCGATTTGAATTGAAACATGAAATTATTGAGCCGCTGTGGGGAACTTGGATCAAATTTTATCCAGCTCATAATGCTGCCGTCGCAAGGAATCTTTTGGAAGATACTTTTCCCAATAGATTGATTGCGAATAATGGCGACATTCTGTGGCCTGCTGGATCCCCTGACATAAATCACTCAGATTTTCTTATGGGGACACATTAAGAACGGGATTTGCGCATTTGAGGCTCCCGAAAATGTTGCAATTTTAGAAGAGAGAGACCGAAACGCTTTATGCGTGCACTGAATAAAAATACGCTAATAATAACAATAAATATTCTCTGCGAAATCGATGTCAGATGTGTTGTGATCAAGATGGTGGCCACAATGAACAATTTCTTCGAATTTTTATTACATCATTTCATTATTATTGTCTAAACTTCGTTCATATTAGCTCATCGCATAATATATGTTGTAACTTTTGTTCAAATGAATGTTAACGATAGCCTAGCAAACATATATCGAGCGGGCCTTCAATCACCCTCCAAAAACTGTCGCCACAATGATGCATGATACATCGTTATAGTAATAACAAAATAGATATCCTGTACTCGGTCTCGAACCAGTGCTTCAAGGGATATTATTTTCCATGTCAGACGCTCTTAGTCCATTACGCGGTACTTGAAGGATATTGGTTATAAATTCATCAGTCAACAGAAATGAAATATAACAAGGCTTTGATTATATATTGACCATATACGATATAGCTATTAGAACTTGGTTGATTTGATGACGTAATAGGTGTAGTGTGATAATGTTACAGTCACATTACTTTTCCAGTTTCTGATCTAACTGTAAATCAAATATTTGTTGAATATCGGTGAAATAACTGAACTTCGCATTGATGGATCATTGTTATATGGGTAGTCCAAGATGAGGTTGTCTATCATGGGAAAAATGGCAACAAGGAAGTGTATTTTATTATCCCCTCTATCTCTTTAAAGACCGCCAGAAGAAATAAAAACGATCCCCATGATAGACATCCTTATCTTAGACACAGTGTATAATGAATGAATATTTTTAGCTCTAAAGTCATTACCACAAAAATAAATTGGTAGACGACGAACATAATTGTTATATAACATATTATAATTCGTGATGTTATCAGACGATAGTTTGCTGGGATCAACCATGAAAAATGCATAAGGA